TGGCTTTGTTTAACTTCATGAGGTTTGCACAGGCCCACCTCTCAAGCCTGTCAAGGTCCCTCTGGATGGCACCCCTTTCCTCCAGCGGGTCAACCCCACCACACAGCTTGGTGTCAGCAGCAAACTTGCTGATGGTGCATTCAATCCCACTGTCCATGCTGCTGACAAAGATGCTACACGTCGGTTACAATACCAGCCCCTGAGGAATGCCACTCGTCACTGGTCCCCAATTGGACATTGAGCTGTTGACCACAACTCTTTGAGTGTGACCATCCAGTCAATTCCTTATCCACCAAGCAGTGCATCCATCCAATCCATGTCTCTCCAATTTAGAGACACGGATATCATGCAGAACAGTGTCAAATGCTTTGCACAAGACCAGGCAGATGACGTCAGTTGCTCTTCCCTTATCCACCAATGCTGTAACCCCATCATAGAAGGCCACCAAATTTGTCGGGCATGATTTCCTCTTAGTGAAGCCATGTTGACTGTCACCAATCATCTCCTTATTTTCCATGTGCCTTAGCACAGTTTCCAGGAGGATCTGCTCCATGATCTGGCCAGGCACAGAGATGAGACTGACTGGCCTGTAGGCTCCCCACCCTTTTTAAAAACAGGGGTTATGTTTCCCCTTTTCCAGTCAGTGGGAACTTCACCAGACTGACACGACTTCTCAAACATGATGGATAGTGGCTTAGCAACTTCATCTGCCAGTTCCCTCAGGACCCACAGATGCATCTCATCAGGTCCCATGGACTTGTGCACCTTCGGGGTCCTTAGATGGTCTCGAACTTGATCTTCTCCTACAGTGGGTGGTTCTTCTTTTTTCTAGTCTGTGCCTTTGCCTTCTGTGACTTGGGCAGTATGGCTTGAGTACTTGCCAGTGAAGACTGAGGCAAAAAAAGTCATTGAGTACCTCAGCCTTCTCCATATCCTGGGTAACCAGGTCCCCTCTTTCCTTCCAGAAAGGGCCCACATTTTCCCTAGTCTTCCTTTTATCACCAATGTACCTATAGAAGCTTTTCTTGTTGCCTTTGATGTCCTTGGCCAGATTTAATTCTATCAGGGCTTTAGCTTTCCTAACCTGATCCCTGGCTGCTCGGACAATTTCTCTGTATTCCTCCCAGGCTACGCGTCCTTGCTTCCGCCCTCTGCAGGCTTCCCTTTTGTGTTTGTCCAGGAGCTGCTTGTTCATCCATGCAGGCCTCCTGGCATTTTTGCCTGACTTACTCTTTGTCGGGATGCATTGCTCCTGAGCTTGGAGGAGGTGATCCTTGAATATTAACCAGCTTTCTTGGGCCCCTCTTCCCTCCAGGGCCTTACCCCATGGTGTTCTACCAAGCAGATCCCTGAAGAGGCCAAAGTCTGCTCTCCTGAAGTCCAGGGCAGTGAGCTCGCTGTGCGCCCTCCTCAGTGCCCTAAGGATCTTGAACTCCACCACTTTATGGTCATTGCAGCCAAGGCTGCCCTTGATCTTCACACTCCCCACCAGCCCCTCCTTGTTGGTGAGAACAGGCTCCAGCACAGCACCTCTCCTCATTGGCTCCTCTATCATTTGGAGGAGGAAGTGACGAAGGAAGATACCATCAGCATTCCAGGAACCTCCTGGATTGCTTATGCCTCGCTATGTTGTCTCTCCAATAGATATCTGGGTGGTTGGAGTCCCCCATGAGGACCATGGCTTGTGAACATGAGGCTGTTCCTATCTGTCTACAGAGAGCCTCATCCGCTCGGTCTTCTTGGTCAGGTGGCCTATAGCAGACCCCCACTATAATGTTACCTGTCCCTGCCCTCCATTTAATCCTGACCCATAAGCTCTTGGTCAGCTCCTAATCCATACCCAGATAGAGCTTCATGCACTCCAGCTGGTCATTGACATAGAGGGTGACGCCCCCTCCTCATCTCCTCTGCCTGTCCTTCCCTAAAGAGCCTGTATCCTTCCATTCCAATGCTCC